AAATTTTCTGAAATGCATTTTAAATTAGGAAAGTCAGCAAACAATTACATGTATTAATTAATTTTATTGAAATAATTTAAGAAATGATGTGTAATTTTTGAAATTGAGAAAAACTCACATCCATAAACTAATTTTAATCAAATTAATTTTATATTTGCATTAAAAAAGAAATGACATATAGAAAGAAGTTGAATTAATCTTTCATATAAAGAAAAAAAGAAACGTTAACTTTCAAAGCATAAATGCTGCATATTTTAAGGATAAAGAAGAATAATATCAAACATATCAATACAAATGCTATTAATCTGGTATACGAGATAAACCGAAGAATGATGAAAAAAAACCTTTTTTTCCTTTTTAGTTTTTAACTTTTCAACATATAATTTAAGTGTTAAATTTGAAATTTGTTTAAAATTCTTAAATAATTTATTCCTGTTGTTTACATCGCTTGTGGTTTGTATTTTATACAAAATGGAAATTAATTTCCGGAATATAATTTTTGCTCTAATTTGCAATCATTTTCAATAAATTTCATTATGAATGTTTTGAAGCTAAAATTTTGAGCATTGAAAATTAGCATAATGTACCGGAAGTAATCAGTCAAGTATGATGCAGTGATACTCATTATTCATTTATACTCTTTAGAAGCTACAAATAATTTAAACATTATAAGGTATTACTTCATATTGAAAAGTATTTTAGAGTAATTTTGTAGTGAATATCTTAAAATTATAAATGTCAATAACAGCAATAGTAAGAAAACAATTAGTAAACGCAACGATATGTTAAAAATACTTATTTTTAGCTCATATTAATAACAGTAACAATAATATTAATATGACTAAAACACACACACACACCACACACACACACACATGCACACACACACACATACACATACACACTGTTATTATTAGCATGAATGATATTAAAATTTAAATCAGTATTAATCGAAAATTAAAATAGTGCTTGGAACAAAACTTTCCACATTTTCATATATTTAATTAATAAGTAATAAACTAATTTAAATCTGGTTCCATATTATAAACAAATGTTACATTCCCTTTTCAGATTCAAATGCTTATTGATTAGATTTATGTCCAACCAATAAAAATTTGAATCTGAAATGTTTAAAAAAACAAAACATGAAATAATCCTATTTTAAATTATTAAATTTTATGCAACCAATTTGCTCATTTTAATCTTTCATTCAAATTTTATTTTTCCAAATTGTATTTTGATGAATATCAGGTTTCTTTTTTCACTGAGAAAAAAATTTTTCAAAAAAATTTATATACATATAATATTTGGGCCAGCTCTTTTGCCCTCTCTTATCTTTCTCTCTCTCCCTCCCTACATATATATATATATATATATATATGTTATTTGTTTATTTATTTATTTATTTAATTTATTTACTTTGTTTTGTTTTATTTGTCTATTTGTTTGATTATTTATTATATATAAATATAAATATAAATATATATATATACATATATATTTATATTTATAATTACATTTATATATATATATACATATATATATTTTTCATTACATTGTATTGTATTTATATTAATGTTTATATTTATATTTGTTATTTTTAATTATATGTTTATATATATATGACATATTTTATTATATATCAAATTAAATGCTAACATTTCCGGATAGAGTTGTTACTATCAACTTTTTTCATTTCCGGATAGTTTGTT